GGGCGATCACCTCGTTCCAGAAGGGCAGTGCCCGTGCAATGGTGTCCTTAAGGCTCTCGCAGGAAGGAAGCTGGTCCTGAGTCAGGTCTGCATAGCGACGATCCTGTAAGGAGGATAACCAGGATGTAAACTACCTAACAGATCAGAAGAGAGACGGCTGGCTTAATTTCCAATGCACAAAATTGGATGATGTCAGTAGACCTGGGGAGACAGGTAAAAATTACACCACACATCACCCAGTCCCACTTAAGACTAGATATCATTCTGGTGTCAAAGGCCACTAAACGTCTCAACCTACTGGAGCTAACTGGAGCCTGGGAAGAGAACATGGAGGAGGCACAAGAGAGGAAGAAGGAAAAATATCAGAAGCTAGTGGAGGAACAGGTGGAAGACCAGGTGTATGTCAGTAGAGGTGAGCAGTGGGGGCTTTGTGAGCGATCCCTTAAGCAGGGATTATGGAACCTTGGGCATCACAGGAATAAAAGGAAGAAATATATCAACAGCAGCATGGAGGCAGTGGAGAAGACACTGAGATGCTCTGGTTGAAAAAAAGAGGACCAGTGGGGTCAGCAGAGTGCCACTTCGAGTAGGGTGCTGTGGCTTGATCACCCTTGGTTGGGTTGCCTGGACGAGGGTGTCTGTTGTAGGACCCAAAACACCCACTGACTCCAAGATATGACACAGATGATGTGTTCCAGAGATGTATGTTAAAGCAGAAGTGCACATTTATTTGGGAATAAAGAGGCCCAATTTAAGTCATGTTTAAGTGATTCTCTATGTGGATAAATGTTCAAATGTCAGATGTATTTACCAAGTAAAACTGTCTGTGAGACAATACATACCATCAATGTTACCCTTTTCTGACTTATTTGCTGGCATGAAATAGTCAACTTAGTATTATTCTTCTCATAGCAACAATAACATGTTGCTGAGTAGATGCTGCAATTTTGATACCCACTAACAACCAGTGTAGGGTTATTATATTTGTGACTGTCCCTGTCAGTGCAGACAGACATGATCAGTTTGTTTCCACCTTGACTGAACTTTGAACTTGTACTGAAATCAACTTGTTCTTGCCAGTCATATATTAACCCACCTGGGACATACTATTAGGTAATAGCATTAGGGCTCCTAATATCAACTAAGAAACTACATCCCTGATTTAATTTACATTGTTGTATGTCTAAAACACTTGTATATTCAAGCTGTATGTGCTGCAGACAAAAAGACAGAGACAAAGGATCTAACATCCACTGTTTTCCCTCCAAACGCTGCAGTCATTTCAGGTGATTTCACTCATTCATGTTGACACACTTAGTGCTGGACTGCAGGGACCTGTTGTAGTCATGCCTCTTCTTTGTCATCCCTGTGTGGACCTGATCAATGTGTACAAAAGAGTTTCTTTCCACACAGAACAACAAAGCTCAGTGGTTGTGTATACACACTATAGATATAGATATCATATCTTACCTTGCTGATGATGGTGTAGTAGTCATGGTCTGGGCCCATTTGGGGAGGGGGGATATCAAATGAACGCCTCCAGATTTTCACCTGAGCCTCTCCGTGCTTGGCGGCCGTCTCTGCCTTGTTTAGCCCGGTCAGGCCTCCATAGTGGCGCTCATTGAGCCGCCAAGTCCGATGCACTGGCAGCCACATCTGGTCAATACAGTCCAGGACCAGCCACAGTGTCCTGATGGCCCGCTTCAGCACAGAGGTGTAGCAAAGGTCAAACTCAAAGCCAGCATCTGCGAAAGTGAGAGACACAGGAGTTTTATCCAATTTGACTGAAACTGTTAAAGGACAAATGCACTTGGAGACTGTTTCTGTTCACCTGACTTAGTTATTAAATTCCTCCACAATAACAACTGGGAACAACAAGTTCTGTAGACACATGTTTATTTGTTTGTATCATCAGAACTCAAGTAGATTGTTAGTGCATTCTTATTTTGTGCAATCAACAGCCCCAAAAGACATTCAATTTGTCACATATTACAAATAAAAACAGCAAATTATCAAATCTGAGAAGTTAGAACCATAGAATATTTGACTTTTTTGCTTTAAGAATAACAAATAAAGAACCTGATTATCAAAATAGTTGCTAACTAACTTTCTTTCGATCAAATTACTGATTTTTTTTTTACTACTGACTGCAGCTCTACTGCTTTATTGAGGCTACTCTCAGGGTATGAGTCTGCCTACTTATCTCGCCTGTGATTTTCCCAGTTACACTGCTGAAAAAGTCCAGACCAGATACATGATGAGCATTTAATAAAATAGACTCAAAAGCCTAAGTTGGTTTGCTGTTTTCTTCCCATTTTGCAGGCTGCACTTTCTCCGCGGCGTCTCCTGTGCCTGCCATAGACCTGTGGTGACTTGTGAACCAGTGCAACCACAAAAAAAACATAACTTCTGCACGTTTGCACATCTGTCTGGCACAGGGGGGCGGTTATGCAACCATAGGTATGCATTTTGCCTATACATGTCACGGTTACCACAGACTGAGGACGATAGGAGAAAATGAATCGGTGCCTCCTCACCTTTCAGGGCCTGTCCCCCTCGCTTCGCCTCAGTTTCTCCGGTTTCGCTCAAATCTGCATCAAACCAGCCGCAGAAGCGATTCTCCTGGTTCCAGTTGCTCTCTCCGTGGCGAATGAGGACCAATCTATAGGCGGCCATGACTGAATCAGCAGTATAAACGGATAAATTAGCTAATGGGACGATTTCTAAAAATGGATGTTAAATTGAGAACCCCGACTCCACCCGCCACTGTCAAACCGGAGAGGACTATCCCTCGGATTGGTTACTCACCCACTTCCTG